CACACACACACACACACACACACACATACACACATGCATGCACGTACACACAAGCACACGCTTACACACACACATGCACAAACACACTTGCACCAATTTATAATGCACATGTGTTTACGCATAGATATCGTCCTTTGATAACAGTAATGGCCTGATCTGACACTTTCCATGACTGACCTTATTCGTTTCGCTACGACCATACCTGTGCGAGAAAAGGACAATGTATTTGCATACTTAATCGATTATTCCGCCTAATTGTTTTTTGTGCGTGTTTTTTCGTGTTTCTGTTTTTGTTTTGCTTTTTTGTTGTTTTTCTGTTGGGTTATATTTTTCTACCTTTCCTCTGGTAAAGCAACTTGTTCTTCAATGAGCATTGAAATAAAAAACATATCGTCCAAATTGGGCCTTTGATGGGTTTTTGAGTCCTTGAAACGAGGCTTGTTCAAAGTTAAATTTTAAGATCCTAGAGTCTATGGAGTGACATTTAAATCTTTGTTGTAAAACTCTACAGATGCGTGGGGAAGCTTATTGTTTTCCAAAATCTGGGTCTTTCTGTCTAGGTTCACGGATTTTTTTTGGTGGGAGGGAGGTGGTATGACGATGGGGAGGGACCTGTTTTGCACTCAATCATAAATTGTCTTGTCAAACATGGTAGATGAAGAACCCATAATAAATTACCTAAACGGTGCCGATGGGGAGGTAGAACCTTGATAATTAATCAAGCTAAGCTAAATGTTCATTCACAGATTACTGAGTCCGTGCAGATATAGGCAAAGACACCTTTCAGGTAGATCTAGTATATGAATATTTTTTTTTAAAAGCATGAAGGTCTGAGACTTACAGAGTGCAGGCTTTTTTAATTAAGGGAAGTGCATCAAGGTATTCGTTGATACGGCTGAGGGCAAACAGCATGTTTATTATTTTCAGCCTCATTACGTTAAGAAGCCTTTCACCAGCAATGCCTTTCTATAAATTTCGTAACAAAAGTCATTGTTTAAGTAGTCGAGGTCTGTCGCAGATGTAGCTCTTGATGATGATGCAAAACACAAAGCTAGTCACTTCTTCGAACCGCTACAATGATAGTTACAATATCAACAGCTGGCACAACAACAACAACAGCAGCAGCAGCGACAACAACAACAATAGCAACAACAACAACAAAAACTGCAACAATAAAACAAAACAAAAAAAACCCCGTCCACTCACGCTGACAAATCCTATGAAGACCCTGAGCACCATGGTACCCACTGCACTGTGCATAGCAGTCACGGGAATGAAGACGCAGGCTACAGATGCTGCCAGGATGCTCAGCCCCAGAGTGTAACGGCTGCCCACACGCCCTACTACCCAGCCAGACACGAGCTGGAGACCCACGTAGCCCCAGAAGTAAGCGCTCAGGACTAGTCCCTGGGTGTCTTTTGACCACAGCAGGGGGCCGTCCTGTAGATCATAGTAAATATATTACAGTTTGCATGATGATAATAATAATCATAATAATAATAATAATAATAATAATAATATTAATAATAATAATAATAATAATAATAATAATAATATTTTTTTAAAGTAAAATAATAATATTTTAAAAAGTATAATATATATATATAATAATAACGCATTTTCTCTAAAGTACTCAATGCGCTTTACAATAATAAAAATAACAAGAGCACCATACTGTTGTAATGACGTTCATTCCTCTCCGTTCCCCTTCCCCATTCTCTCTCTCTCTCTCTCTCTCTCTCTCTCTCTCTCTCTCTCTCTCTCTCTCTCTTTCTCTCTTTCTCTCTCGTTCACTCTCTCTTCTCTTTTTCTCACCATCTCTCCCCGCTCTTTCCAAAACAAGTACTTATTGTATTCGTGTGGTCTTGTAGAAATATATTTTATTAGTGTGTGTGTGTGTATAAGTGTGTGTACAAGTGTATGTGCACGTTTGTGTTTGTCTGTGTGTGTGTGT